GAAAGGGTATGGAAGAGAGAACGTCATCAGCTACCTTTACAAGAGACAGGCCACGCCCAAAATGACGTACTACTGCCATATATAGGTCTGAGTTGCCCGTCTTCACTTTCCTGTTTCGATAGACACCAAAAGCGTCTAGCATTAACTCAAACAGGACAGTTTTTTTACATTATGCTTTGATTCGTTCACATATTTTTCTAGAGGACTACCATAATTGAATGGTTTCTCCGTTGACATTTAATAATGATATTGATAGGCTACATCAAAATACTGTTAGTCCGTGGCGTCTAGGTCAAATTTCGTATACCTGCTATCTTCGTATATATGACTCCCACTCTATTTACATTTAATATTACAGTATTATGGAGTTAAGCTACTTAAAATTAATGATAGTTTCACGCGTCTGGGTCAGATTTAGTCTATCAGGTATGTTTAATGATTAATATGAAATATCCGTACTAAGTAGATTAAATACAACACGGAAAAAACATTAGATAATTATATCTTACTTTTCATTGGTTAAGTATCACTGGATTGCGACCTTGAAAATCAGGATTTGATAGAAAAATAGTTTAACGGTATGATATATTTATGAGTAAAAGTGCTCAATATCAGGGATATAGTATATGTTAATATAAAATAAAGGGTGTTCCAATAACTTGGGCCAATTTTTAAATGTGAATTAAGTTTAAGCGTCTAATAATTTTCTTTTCTTTTTCTTTCAGATTTAACAACTTAAGTCTTTGGCAATTTCAGCTATCGCAAACTGTACTACATAGCAAAAACCATATCATTCGAAGACTACCAACAGTAGTAACAACTAAAATGAATAGAACATGGAATTCGAAATGAAAATAATGATATAAACGAGATGCTAAGGTTTCACACCATTTCGAATAAAAGCCTTGGAAGGACCCCCGCCGTCATTACTGGAAAGAGCGATAAAAGATACGGGACTTGAGAAACCTGTTTTCCTGAAAAAAATGTTTTAAGATAAAGATTTTATAAATTTCAACCGGAAACAGTACTGCCTGTTCGGTCAATGAATGACAAATGTTTCCTTATAAGAAAACGGGTTATATTACTGTTATATACCGTACGTATGAACACTAATGAGTATATCCCAGTCCTCTGCTGGACACTATCGTAAGTGGGGGTGTAATATGTTGTCTAAGTAGTCAACCAGTAGCAGTGGCTTACCTACTTCACGCCGCTCGCGAGTATTGTATTTTGCTGATGTTATAAAGATTGCTATTTCATTTCCAACTTTCGTTTTGGTTATTTCACATTAAGTAACCCTCGTTACAACAGATAGATAGATAGATAGATAGATAGATAGATAGATAGATAGATAGATAGATAGATAGATAGATACCGTACCTATGAACGCCAATCCTCATAAAATACACAGGACGCTATTGTAAGTGGGGGTAATATGCTGTCTAAGTAGTCTACCACTAGGAGTGGTTTACCTACTTCACGTCGCTGGTGAGTATTGTATTTTGTTGTTATAAAGATTACCGTTTCATTACCAACCTCCGTTTTGGTTATTCCTCATTCAGTAACCCTTGCTTGCGTTGTATCGTAATGGTCCGGATTCGATTCTCGGTGGTGGATGCACACTGTGGATGAATCCCAAAATAGAACGAAAGAGCCGCCCAGTGCTTTCTGCATTCTGCTGAGGTTTCTTCTAGACTTGATGAATTACTTAATTATGATTAGCTCAAATTCTCCTAATTATTTCTATGTATAGATAGATATAGATATATAATAATATAGGTATTTTCATTTATTAATCCAACATATTTTCATTATTGTTTAAATGTTATTTTTAATGTATGTCATGTATTTAAATAGATGTACTGTTCTTTTATTTATTTATTACGCAGTATATAAATTTATTTCCATCTGAATTTTACAGAAATGTTATTAGAATTATTCAGGATAGCAAATGGAAATAAATAAATATAATGTTTAATAAATAAATAAATTAACAGAGCATCTACGCAGGGACGCAATGAAATACATAGAATGAGATAGATAGATAGATAGATAGATAGATAGATAGATAGATAGATAGATAATGAACAGGTAGTTAATGTAAACTGTGATAGATAGATAGGTAGACAGATAGATAGATAGAAAGATAGATATATAATGAACAGTAAAATATGATAGATGGATAGATAGATAGATAGATAATGAACAGTAAAATGTGATAGATAGATAGATAGATAGATAGATAGATAGATAGATAATGAAAAGGTAGTTAATGTAAACTGTAATAGATAGATAGGTAGACACACAGATAGATAGATAGATAGATAGATAGATAGATAGATAGATAATGAACAGGTAGTTAATGTAAACTGTGAACAGTAAAATATGATAGATAGATAGATAGATAATGAACAGTAAAATGTGATAGATAGATAGATAGATAGATAGATAGATAGATAGATAGATAGATAGATAGATAATGAACAGACTCAGATAGATAGATAGATAGATAGATAGATAGATAGATAGATAGATAGATAGATACCGTACCTATGAACGCCAATCCTCATAAAATACACTGGACGCTATTGTAAGTGGGAGTAATATGCTGTCTAAGTAGTCCACCACTAGGAGTGGTTTACCTACATCACGTCGCTGGTGAGTATTGTATTTTGTTGTTATAAAGATTACCGTTTCATTTCCAACCTCCGTTTTGGCTATTCCTCATTCAGTAACCCTTGCTAGGTTTAACATTTCCATACAAAATTTGACATTAACTAACAGAAGACGTAAAATCAAGCAACCAACCAACACTTTCAAAATAATCTTATATAGAACTTAATAAAATTGAATCTGCAATATTACTGGTCCTGACTTGGCAGCTTCGGTCACTCTCCCACTGCCGTAACTTAACCTTTTCTATAGATATTTTTATTGTAATTGTTTTGATGAGCTTTCCTCTATGGTACCTAGACTTTATGAAGTTAATCGCAATTCTAAATTGGTGGCAATGTATCATCATTTTATAGATGAAATGCCTAGATGCAACCGTAAGTTCTATGCTAACAGTTTCTTCTCTCACGCTTCTCACTTATAGAACTCTATTCCGGCTTCTAACTTTCCGGTCAACTTTGATCTTCAAAACATTGAATATGATGTCAATCATTATTTTCTCTCTCCTTAATGCATGCTCTTTTATTTTTCTCTCTGCTTAATAATGTTCTCATATCTTCTCACACTCAGCAACCGCTTGCGTCTTAGTAGCTTTATTGCCTTACTTGGGATGAAATGTTTTTAAAAAAAGTTAAAGATTAACAGCAATCAATGGAAAGAGAAATGCTTGAGATAAAACGAAGACAGAGAGAGATGTCAAGATGGATATGAGAGTAAGCGAAAACAAAATATAACGAAGTGGTATCGAGACAAAAATAGAACTGGATAGTATACATAGTAAGAAGAAAGGTGACGCAAAAGACAGCAAATATTATAAGTCTGTTTGTCCCCTCCTCAGCGCGACCTTTACGCCCTGCCAATACATCATAAATAATGAACTATTCTGTTTTGAACGTGTGAAAAGATAAAAAATATATCAGAGACGCCACTTTGTTTCAGTGAGAAAAAGGATTATTCCGTTTTGATCAAGTAAAAAGTAGGAAAAGTTATATCAGAGACGCTACTTGGTTTCAGTGAAAGAAAGAAAGAAAGAAAGAAATTTTTAATGTCTTATGCCAATACTCCATAAATAATGAACTTTCCGTTTTGATCGCGGGCAAAGAGAAAAGACATATCAGAGTCGATACTTGGTTTCATTAATCAAAAGCAAGAAAGAAATGCTTAACGGCTCTTGCTAATGTCACATAAATAATGGACTATTCCGTTCTGATCAAGTGGAAAAACGGAAAAGACAGAGATGCTACTTGGTGTCAATGAGGAAAAAAACACACAAAAAGAAGTTTTTAACGCTTCTTACTAATACCTCATAAATAATGGACTATTCCGGTCGTAATAAGTAGAAAAACAAGAAAAAGACGCTACTTGGTTTCAGGGAGAAAAAGAAAGAAAGAAGTGTTTAACATTTCCTGCTAATACACCATAATAAATTTTCCGTTTAGATCGCGTGGAAAGATAAAAGACATATCAAAGTCGCTACTTGATTTCATTGATCAAAAGCAAGAAAAAAAAAGAAGCGTTTAAGGTCTCATGCCAATAACCTCTTAAATAAAGAACTTTTCGTTTTGATTGCGGGGAAAGATAAAAGACATATCACAGACACTCTTTGTTTTCCGTGAGAAAATGAAAGAAATACGTTTTTTTTAAACATAATTAAAATAACAATTAAATGTTAATAAGCCTTTAATAATATTTTATTGATATATCCACTTATAAGCATATACCAGTATATTCACAAGAGTAATAGGCAAGAGTTTCACAAAACTATAATGGTGTAATTTTCTTTCTACAATCAGAATAAAACGGTATTTTCAATGCCTGGCTAATTAAAAATTATTCAGACACTAAATAAATAATACATTTTCATAATCTAAATATATTAAAATTATTTTACATACATTTAATTTCAGTAATTTAAGGACGAGGAGTCAATAAAAACTCTATGAACTATATATTAGCCCGGTGACCTAGTAAAAATTATAAAATTTCTGTGGGTCACTTGAAATGTGCCATGGCCCAGTATAGCCATCTGACCATAGATTGGGAAACACTGTCGTAGAGGAATGTTCATCAGAACAATTACTTTCTTGCTTAATATCCTAACTGCAATCAGTATATTAGTACAAATTCTTTATGAAGACCTAACTAGTCCCAATATATTTATTTTTGAATCATTTCACCCCAAGCAAGGTAATACATTCAAATAGGAAAACCGTGAAATTGTCACAGGTACTTCTAGTAGCTAAATAATAAATGGAACGTAGAGAGATGAGATTGAAGCCCTTTTTGATCAAAGATGAGACTGGGAATAGGATATTCAAGGGAGACATTGAAGGGATTTTGGGAAAAAAGGCATTTGTCGAACAGCGGACTTCTGATGGTTGATTCTGATGACGATTGTAAGCTATGTATCAGTTTACAGGTTTTTGGACGCATTGTCGAACAAACATATAATTACTGTCAAATATTAATCGTGATTAATTTCATAAGTCATAGCCGTGAGATCCCCATTTCGAATCAGTGACAAAAACAGCTTGATTTTTGTTTCTATTATGTTTTTGGTAATTTTAGTATATAAAAAATGACTTCTATTAACATCTGGGTATATGTCCACAGATCTAAATCCCCTTCCTTATCATCTCTCTCTCTTCTCTCTCTCTCTCTCTCTCTCTCTCTATATATATATATATATATATATATATATATATATATATATATATATATATATATAATAAATGCGAATTTCAGTGTGTCACACTTTTCAACTTTAAAAAAAATATGGGCCCCCAATCCTGAAATTTTGAATTCCTAAGTTTTCATTACTGCGATTGTTTTCGGTGATCTTTTTTACGTAATTTTTGCGACGAAGTTTTTGTACGATAATAATTTTTATAACGTGGAAATAAATTGGAGAATAATCAGAAAGAAATTAACTGCTAAATCCAGAGAAAGTCAGCTATGAAATACAAATTGTTTGCACAGTAAGTAAGGACCTACGTACATCAAATTGTCTTTAAATAAAGTGGCGGCAAAAGAATTATCGTTGAGTTTTTAAAAGGCAAGCTTAGATATTAATGCAATACTTAAATGCAGCGAACAGTTTTAAGTTCGTCTGTAGCTTATTGTTGGTTATCGCATCTATTCCTTCCTACCTATTGTGGTGAAGGCCCAATCAAGCTACCTAAATTCCGTTTGATAGGACGGCGGATTTTAAGCTAGTATATATATATATATATATATATATATATATATATATATATATATATATTCTAATAAATATAGATTTATTTCCTCACCGGTAACTCAACTCTGATTTCATGTACGATGCAATTGTCAGGTACTGATTTAATATTTCCCATATATATATATATATATATATATATATATATATAAATATATATGTATGTATGTAAATTGATCGGCTAATAAACCAAAGACAATGGCGAAAAGCGTGAGAAAATTTTCATGTGGTTATGTCACGAGATCCTCGCTGCTGACCTGCATACAAGGCCACATATAGTACATGTGGACTTGTATGCATGTCACTAATGTGACTGGAGTGTCACATACGACAAACATAAAAACTGAATGTGGTTGTCGGATCCTCAGACGTCAAAATCGACTGAAGAGTCCATCACCCACACACACACATACACACTATGAGAAATTTTATAAAAAACTAAATAAAAGCACATTGTCTGTCGTATTCCATGAAATGTGCATATATATATATATATATATATATATATATATATATATATATATATATAATCAAGAAGGAAACCTTAAAGATTCATTTCGGTTATAATTTGTTTCGTGAATATTTATATAATCATCTCTTCCGACCGAAATCTTAGTAAACAGAGATAATATGCCGGACTGATATATTAGATTGACAGGGGGGAGGGAAAGCAAGAGAGAAGAAAAGAGAGAAAGAAGGAAAGAAAAAAAAGGGACGGATGGTCAAGTTCTTTTAAAAAGTAAGATAGACTTATAATGCTCTGTCGTCTACAAAGTTCCACACTTTAAGGAAAAAATTCTCGGTCGAATCAGTTTTTTTAGGCTTACTACTACCCATTCATTACTTTTTTCTTCCTTTTCCTTTCCATATCCACTCTCTATCTCACTATTGTTGTGTTCATACATTACATTACCTTAGCGTTTTACACTTTACAAGTAAAAATATAATTTTCAGATGAACACAACAATTTTGTCATAATTTTGTGGTAATGTCAAAAGTACTCAGAATAAAATGCGCAAGTACGAAAAGGGACACTGAGAATTTTAAATTATATATATATATATATATATATATATTCATGAATTATTCATACAAAAAACAAATACAAAGGTTAATGATTTAATTGGCGAGAAATCCATCGTCGCGAACAATTTTTATAAATTTCTGTTGCATAAGTTCTTATTATTTTTACAAGCTTTCGTCTGTTCCTACAGACATCCTCAGGTATGGAATAGCTTTTGTTCTTGTTTTTACTCTCAGTAATAAGAGGACAACGAAAATATATGTATTGTTGTAATCCGAAAAATGCTATTAGAAATGAGTTATTGTTTTTAGAGCGTGCTGTCGCAACGCTGAGTTTGAATTTAAATTTTACAATTGTGCGTTCTTATACAAATATGGTGATAAGTGAATTCTTTTTTACTGGTAAATTTTCTGTCAAAGTGGCATGAACTTTATTGTTCAATAATTACAGTAATGTCGCACTTATTATCCAAAAGTTGCATTTGGATCAGTTATTTTAGTTTCAATAAAGGTGCAATTAATTTACAAATTCATGAATTATTCATTCAAAAAACAAATACAAAGGTTAATGATTTAATTGGCGAGAAATCCAATATATATATACATCTTTATAGATAAGACGATTTCATTTAGTTTCTTTTTGTTTATGTTTCCATTTCTTTTGCTATTAAATATCCCACATTCGGATAATAGATCTGCCAAGTTAGGTGAAATGTCGTAAAAATGGACGCAAATTTAATGTGGATAATCCAGCGATTAAAGAACTTTTTAAAAATTTGCGTTTTCGTAAATTGCTTTATCTTTTAATAGCAATTTTTAATTAAAATTATGCTCAATCTCATTACGGTAAATAACCAATGCATTTAGTGTGTTGTTTTGTAAAAGATCACTTTTTTGTTCATATATTCTTTTATTTAAATTCCTTGAGGTTTCTCCTATGTGTTCTTTGTGACAATCATTACAGGTGATAGAGTAAATTCCTCCTTCAAGTTTTAGGTTTTATTTTGTTTTTTTATTAAGTTTTTTATTATTTTAAAAGTAGTTGCAACAAATTTTATGTTGAATTTCGATAAATTCTTTTTAATTGTAGCTATGATAGAGTTGGTAGATAGAACAATATATTTTGATTCGTTGGGTTTGTCAGGAAAGTCTACTCGTCTATTTTGAAATATTTTGCAAGCTTCTTTGTTTCACATGAATAGATGGGACGCACTTCGATAGAACTTTTTCATTCATGTCCGATTGATTCATAAAACAATGACACTCATTTGTTAATTATCTATTTTTATTTATGTCTAAGAAAATGTTTTTTTTTTATCTATATGCTAAGGGAAATTATTGTTAATTAGTGTATATTTTATGTTTTTGTGTTCACTAACAAATATTGAGCGTGCCGGGGAGATTAAATGAGTTTTTTTCTTTGTAAAGTTCTTCATGAAGGCTATTTTGTATGATGCATTCGAAACTAGATAAAAGCCAACACGAAAAACGCTATAATAGGCGAAACGAGATATTTAAAACAATTAAACTGACGACACAACAAACAACAAACGTCTTTGAAAGTGGATAGAGTTCGTCGAAAGTACTTAAACATGGGAAGTTTTATTTACAAATACCAACCAAAAATTCAAAATGTTATGTGAAAGTAAACAGAAAATAATCAACACGGAACTTTCGTTAGTTTTCAATCTTATATATTTAAATTATTCATCGAGTCTGAAAGAAACCTCAACAGAATGCAGAAAGCACTGGACGGCCGTTTCGTCCTATATTTGGGACTCATCAGCAGTGCGCATCCACTACCGAGAATTGAAACCCTGACAGTTAGGTCGTCAAGCAAACATCATACCAACTGTTCCAATGGGCCTCGGTGACGAAGAGATTGCAAATCAGACTCAATATAGCGCCGCTCGCTCACATATTCCGTGGTGGAACTCTACTGAGTTCTCTCTAACCATAGGACTGTGCCCCCTGGAGCCACAACTACTCTCAACAAGCCGCTCACTCGAGAGCATTAGAAGCCGGTTCAAGCGATGATATACACAGATAGTGATTATTAGGAGGATTATTATATACAAAGATAGTGATTATTAGGAAGATATATATATATATATATATATATATATATATATATATATATATATAATAAATAGAAGTCGTAAATATTCTTGGTTATAATGTAGAATTTATTGGTTTATTTAACTTTTTTGAAAATATATAATTTACTTCATTTTCCATTTTTTTTTTGCTATACATATTTCAGGTCTTGTGACCGTCAGACATCAGACATCAGACGAAGAATGGTTAATTCCAGATATTATTTAAAGTAATTATTTTTTTCTTTATTTTTTTCCTATGTTTAACCATTGTCTTTTGTCTGCGGTAATAATCCAAATTCTTCTTGGGTTGATGGGGAAAATATTCCTCGGATTAAAGGGTAATAAGACAATCATTTAATTATTATTAAATAAATAAATGTGGAAATAACCCATCTTCGCCTGATGGTGGTCACAAAGCCTAAAACACGTGTAGCGAAAATATGGAAAATAAAGTATAATATATTTTTTAAAATTTAAATAAGTAAATTAATAAATCAACATTATATATATATATATATATATATATATATATATATATATATATATATATAGTGTGTATATATAGATAAAAAGAACTGTGTAGCAAAAAAAAAACATATTTTAAATCAATTAATTTATAATATATATATATATATATATATATATATATATATATGAATAACATTTGCTGACGCTTTTTGCCGTTGTATTTCGTCTTTTACCCGGTCAATACGACTGATTTTGTAATTTCTGATGTCACTCTGACACAAATATCTCCTGATATTTCTATCCATGGCAACTCGCTCGAAGTTAGTCTAAGGCACATTGACAGCTGAGAGATTACTCTTTAGCATGTTCTTTATAACTGAGCCACGGCTCTCCAATTGTCCTTTGTCCGCTCTCAAGTTGTCCATACATGAAATCCTTAGGTATTCTGACGTCACTCAAGCATTGCAACATGATCAGTCCTGCGAAGTTGTGACTGTAT